CACGATCACATCCTATATAGGCGTTATGCCGTTATCAAAAGATTATCGACAATGGTTGTACCGAGTTTCTGAGGTTTTTCTTTCTKTCTTTCTTTTTACATATTTTACAACCGTCACTTCTCGCAAAGGGCTCTTCCCTGAGGCTCGCTTCACACGCGAGTTCAGTCTTAATCCTCGTAGTACGTGAAAAGAAAAGTAAAACGYACTTCATATTCAGGAAACTTGGACAGCTCCAACATTATCCTAGATAGAAGGCACCTAAACATATGCAAAGGACGTACTCTCAGCTATACGCATTATGTAGTGGATTGGTCCAGATGACGGCGGTCACGGATGTCATTAATCACTGGATGTCCTTAAWAAGATGTAGRTAACAGGAAGCTGAAATCAAGTCTGTAATCTCAAAAATCCTCTARCTGTAGTTTTAACAGCTTGTCTAAGGTCTTTCATTCGCCATAAATATAGAATTGGATTAGCACAAGAATTAAAGACTGACAAAAGTCCTGTAAGAATACCCAAAYTGTTAGTTATTTCACTTTTGTGAGCACTTCGTAAAGCTGAAACACAGCAGTATGGCAAATAGAAAATAAAGATTGCAAGAAGAACAATAACCATGGTATGCAGAGATCGTCGATATTTGTTTACATCAAAGGCTGGCGTTGCATTGGGAGCATTGTCGTTGGCGTCGCTCGTAAATACTTGTGAAGACACTTTCTTCAAATGGTAAAAGGCCATTGAGTAAAATATTGTGATCGTGCATAGGATCACAGCAATATACACGGCAARCAATATTAATACTGCATTACTTAGAATGGTTTCAAAAWAAATAATAGTGACAATATACAAAGTGCCACCGACGAGCCAACCAACCAATAAAGCAATGATGAGGCGTTTGTTGGTGACAACTGTTCCATAGGYAAACTTGAGTTTGAYAGCCAGAAATCGGTCAATACTAATAAWAGCTAAAGTGTAAAGACTGACCCCACCGAGGATGTAAGTAAGAACTACAAAAATCATCGACAAAAAGCAAAAGRATGTATACCATTTGTTGATTATGGCAAGGTGKAGATATGCCAAGTAAGGGCATSCAAAAACSCCAACCAAGAGATCTGTCAAGGCAAGGTTTGCGAGGAGGATTTGTGATGGTTTGTGAAGAGCAGGGGTTTTCCATACGGCAATAAGAACCAAAGCGTTGAGCAATGTGATCGGAATAGCTGTAGTAGTGTAAGCGATAACAGCAAAGATTCTGGCAGAATATAGGGTTTTGATTATTATATTGTTCAAGCAAGAGAGATCCATTTCTATTCTCAGTATCAACTAAATCGGTATACCTTTTCTTTCTGGAGTATTTGATATGTTAGCAGGTGCGAAAGAGAGAAAACATCTATCAGTAAATTTGTGAAAAACTGATTTAATCRTGATTACTTTGTAAATGACCCTGGCTTATGAGAACCGGCTTAATATAATAAAATAAACAGAAACAGCATGACATTAGCGATATGATGTACACGGCAGAAGAACAAGGTTTATTTGAAASAGCTAGCTATTTTAGGAGKATGCGTAGAAAGTCAACGAGCGTCCTTCTATTAGCTGAATAAACTAAGCCTTAGAACACCAACACTTATACAAGTAATAATTTAATAACTTCCTCCCTTGAAAAGTTCAATTTTTTTTCTTCTTTTTATATTAATACTATTATTATCAAGATTATAACGTCCAATCACACTCAGTGAAAGCAAAACTTTTTGTTTGGATATGGACATATATTTACTTTGTCATTCAGTAATTCCCTCTGATCTGTCATTATATGTTGTTGAAAATGTTGACAGGATGTGATCGAAACGTCCAGCAATTCTTGCGCTTATTTTCTTAATCAAATGTTTATCAAGATCCACACTATTATTAAGAGTATACTTTATTCCTGGATTTAATATTGGTAGACAGGTGAGATGTTCGATTAAGATTTATTTGTTTCAACTGAGCTTCTCCCGGTGATCAAAGCAAATAGAAGAAAGGAGAAGAATATATTTATTTATTATATAATTACCAATGAAATATCTATTTTTCTCTATTTCGAAAAATTGATATCTTCACACGTGAAAATAACATGTTATTTTCACGTGTGAAAATAACACCATTGCGATGGCTATTAAAAAATACACGGAAAGAATTGCCTGAAAAAGCCAAAACATACTTCATTGATAATTAYATAATAAACAGAATATTACATGGCCGCTTGGAGATACGCAATTTATCTTCTTGTGTTGAAAATCTCTCACTCGTTCGCTGAGAGATCTTTTCAACACCGTGAGAGATCTTTTCAACACTCGAAGATAAATTTCGTATCTCCGCGCGCCCATGTAATATCCTCTATATCAGTTATAAGGTATTTGTGATGAAATACAATTGACCGATCCCCGGTATGCTTRAGTGTCCACCCAAACAATGGGTAGTTTTCCCAATGGAATACARAATGTCCGACCAACAAACTCGAATTCWTAAGACATTTGAATAGTTATCGATTTTTCTCTCAATGTACCTTTACAATGCATTGATTCTAAGACAGACAYTTAGAATTTTCAGCAATCGGTGTTTGTTCTTTGCGGCATAGCAACGACACATTCGAGCTTGTCCGACGCAGCAACCGTAACTAGGGAGATATAGAACTATGAATCCTGGATCGATGTATTGAGGAAGACTGGCAATGAATGCCCTGAGTTTCTGAGGATTTTCTWTCKTTCTTTGTTTTCTTTTTTACATATTTTACAACCGTCACTTCTCGCAAAGGTCTCTTCCCTGAGGTTCGCTTCCCACAACAGTTCAGTCTTAATCCTTGTAGTACGTGAACAGAACAGTAGAACGTACATATTCAGGAAAATGGAACAGCTCTAACTTTATGCTAGATAGAATGCACCTAAAACCCATGCGTACGACGTGCTCTCAGCTATACGTATAATTTAGCGCGGGCGAGATTGTTCAAGTTGATGACGATCACGGATGTCGTTTAATAACCGGATAATAGCAAGCTGAAATCAAGACTGTAATCTCAAAATGTTTCTTAYTGTATTTTTAACAGCTTGTCTAAGGTCTTTCATTCGCCACAAATATAGAATTGGATTAGCACAAGAATTAAAGACTATCAAAAGTGATGTAAGAACACCCAAATTSTTAGTTATTTCGCTTTCGAAAGCACTTCGTAAAGCTGAAACACAGCAGTATGGCAAAAAGAATATAAAGATTGCAAGAAGAACAATAACCATGGTATGCAGAGATCGTCGATATTTGTTTACATCAAAGGCTTGCGTTGCATTTGGAACAGGGTCGTTGGGGTCGCTCGTAAATACTTGTGAAGATACTTTCTTCAAATGGTAAAAGGCCATTGAGTAAAATAKTGTGATCGTGCATAGGATCACAGCAATATACACGGCAAACAGTATGAAAACTGCATCACTTGGAATGTTTTCAAAAAAAATAATAGCGACAACATACAAAGTGCCACTGACGAGCCAACAAAACAATAAAGCAATGATAAGACGTTTGTTGGTGACAACTGTTCCATAGGTAAACTTGAGTTTGACAGCTAGAAATCGGTCAATACTAATAATGGCTAAAGTGTAAAGACTGACCGCACAGAGGATGTAAATAAGGACTATRAATATCTTCGACAAAAAGCAAAAGGATRTATACCATTTGTTGATTATGGCAAGGTGTAGATATGTGAAGTAAGGGCATGCAAAAACACCAACCAAGAGATCTGTCAAGGCAAGGTTTGCGAGGAGGATTTGCGATGGTTTGTGAAGGGCAGGGGTTTTCCATACGSCAATAAGAACCAAAGCGTTCAGCAATGTGATTGGAATGGCTGTAGTAGTGCAGGCGATAACACCAAAGATTCTGGCAGAATATAGGGTTCCGTTTAATATTTTGTTGAAGCAAGAGAGATCCATTGCTATTCTCRGTATCAACTAAATCGGTATAACATTTCTTTCTGGAGTATTTGATATGTTAGCAGGTGTGAGAGAGGGGGAAATTAATCAGTAAATTTGTGAAAAACTGATTTAATCATGATTACTTTATAAAGGACCCTGGCTTATGAGAACCGGCTTAATATACTAACATAAACAGAAACAGCATGACGTTAGCAATATATTGATGTACACGTAAGAAGAAAAAAGTTTATTTGAAAGAGCTAGCTTTTTTAGGAGGATGCGTAGAAAGTCAAAAGGAAACAGTCCTTCTTTTAAATGAATAAACGAAGCCTTAGAAGACCAACACTTATACAAGTAATAATTTAATAAATTTATTCCTTAAAAAGATCAAGCTTCTTTCTTATTTTTATATTATATTATCGTTATTAAAAACCTACTTTATTGCTAGATTTAATATTGTTAGACAGGTGAGATGTTCGATTAAGATTTATTTGTTTCAACTGAGTTTCTCCCGGTGATCAATAACAAATAGAACAAAGGAGAAGAATATATATATTTATGTCATTTATATATGATATATATTGAAGAAAAACAATTGACCGATCCCCGGTATGCTTGAGTCTCCGGCTAATCAATAGATAGTTTTCCCAATGGAATACAGAATGTCCGACCAACAAACTCGAATTCATAAGATATTCGAGCTTGACCGTCGTAGCAACAGTCACTAGGAAAACTGATGCAACACATTCGAGCTTGACCGACGTAGCAACAGTCACTAGGAAAACTGATGCAACACATTCGAGCTTGACCGACGTAGCAACAGTCACTAGGAAAACTGATGCAACGATTGCGGTTCGCTAATGTATAAGGCGAAACCATGAGTTGGCTCATAATTAATAGAATGATAAACCAGTTCATAGCTTAAATATCGTTTTCAGTGCGCATGCGAATTTAACCCGAAAAAAGACGATTTAAACAAAAGAAGGTGAGAAGTTTGGGATCAAAGCGCATGCGAACTGAAAAAGATTCTTAAACTATAACTGGCTTATTGGAAAGAGTATTAGTTTACCATACCTTTTTTCTAGGTGTTCATAAAGACCATGGTCTAATATCACTAGTTCTGCCTTCTTGTCCTTTCCTTGACGCACAAAAACTAAAAAAAGAAAAAGAAATCTGAGTTTTTGGACTTCGAGTATGTGTAAATAAAAATTCTTTCCCCCCTGAATTTATTTTCATATCCCTTTTTTTTCTAGGTGGGCTCTCTTTGCTTGGGAATGCAGTTTGGTAACGATAGTAGCTAAAATAAGAAGTCAAAAGAGGCTTTGGGCCATCACGTGATGGCAGCCATGACAGGAGACACAACATTAGAGTGGTATTTTCCCCTTGGGAAACAGAACAGTAGTTATTATAAAGTAGAGAGAATAAGAGAAAAATATCAAATGCCCTTGGCAGGATTCGAACCCACGTCTTCGGTATTCTAGTCCGATGTGTTAACCACTACACTACAAGGACCAACCACCTGATAACGCAGCCAGAATATGAAATGTAGGGTATTCGTGAGGATCCCAGAGCGATATGTTCTTCTCTATAGATAAGTTGAACACTGTAAATATGTACGCAAAGAATAGACATAGCATAGTAGTAATAAATTATGCGTTCGGTGTGTATATAATGAAGTAGAGAGAATAAGAGAAAAATATCAAATGCCCTTGGCAGGATTCGAACCCAYGTCTTATTATAGATGCATGCAAATTAAATGAGATGCAAAAGAGACATCAAGCATTGTATCCACCCGATAGCCTCACTTATATGATTCTTAAAACAARAGGATTTTTTTCATTGCCGGCTCAACAGCTATTCTTTCTCATGTAAATCAGACTAGACCAGRTTCATTTGTTGCTGCCTCCTGTCATGGTTRCTATCAMGTGATGGTGCAAAGCGCAAAGCCTCAATAATTGAACAAACCATTAGCTGCGTGAGGGTCCCCGTGTAAAAACCCAGTATGGAATATTTGTACTCCAAAAGCTTTGATCATCTTGGCAGCAACCTAAGAAAAGAAAAACCAATAATTCATCTTATGCATGTTCTCAAAAGCACGAGGGGAATCGTCTTCACCGCGATATGTTCTTCCAAAGGCCACGGACATTTTCAATAGGGTCTACAGATTAATATACGTGCTCTYTATCTCCAATCACAGTCAAACTGAAACGCTGGGGGTAAAGAAATATGAGTGTTCTGAAGCACGGAAAACACTCGTACGTCCGCCATCTTGTTTTTCGAATTTTCGCGCATGCTTAGCGGTTCTTAAGCCGTGTCCTTCATCGCGATGAATTAGGTTTTGGTAGACGTCGATTAAGGCGTTTCCGCGTCATTCATTAGGCGTTGCATTGAAACTTTTTCCCACAATGCCATGGAAACACTTTGATTGACGTCCAACAAAAACCTACTTCGTCGTGACAACGATTCTGAATTATCTGCATGTTTTTGACAATTAGTACGATTGCGCATGCGCGCGAGTTAGAGTAGTTACGAGTAGGATACTTACTACATTGAGTTACAACACGTACACGCGTAACAAAGAGACTTTAGGACTTGCAAAAAATACACTACTGCTACATCAAACGGAAGTTTAAATAACTTCTGTCTGCGGTTCCGTGCCTTAAAATTCTGTCTTCCCTGTGGACGAGTTGACTTACAGACTCGTACCCAGTCGTCATTTGTTTTAGGCTTTTTTGGGCGCGGTATGCACCGGGAACTCACTAAATCCTTCCCATCAACCACAGCGTGAGATCAATAAGACAAGAGAAGCAACTGGGTACGAGTCTGGTTGAYTTAAATGACAATGTTTTGAATGAAATCTCCAATGAACAGAACCCTAAAGAGTTATTCCACGACGAAATTCTATACCGGTTGACGTCCCCGTCGTAGACTTTACAATTCTTAAAGTTCTTAATATTGACGGTTGTGAGGACCTTTACACTTACATCACTAACATCAAGACCAGCAGCCTTTATTTTATCGACTTCATCAACTCGACATCCATCAATAAATTCGGTTGTTAGAACTCGCTAGGGGAWAATAAACATATACAAAAAATTAGAGAACTTACAAAATTCCAAACGCTACTCGTTAGGCAAAACGGTTTTCGTATGAGTGGSAAACGATATGGTAAATTCGTAGTCGTACTGTTATGTAGCCATACCGTATCTCAAAGGCGTAACCGTAAGTACTGTAAGGGTTGTGGTTGCTTGAAAAAKACAATGGGAAGGCAATTAACCATACCGTCATTTATGTGGTAAGTCATTTTACGACTCACACGATCCTAAATCAGCCAAAAAAGCGCGCACAACACAATTCAAGCACACTCAACAATTATACTTAAGATTAACTTTGTATAGACTATTAGATACGAAAAACGATATTCTTGAGCGGTAATATTCGTCGTAAAATCAAGGTACAAAGTTCAAACAGATCGAAAAACATAAAGCTGTAGTGAAAACTTGGAAATGCGCGCACGTGCTGTAGGCAGTGTTTTTTAAAGGGTAAATTATTTTATTATTCTTTTAAAAGAGAAGTTTTAGAGGTCCCGTCACGAAGGTTTGCAGGACATAAAAGAAGTGTTAGTAGCAATGAGATGAGACCCCACCTACTTCCACTGTGTGGTCCATGCCTATGTATGTATGTATGGCTGACGGGTCGTCTCTTTATTTATAGTACAGTACTTACCTTACTGGTCATATCCCAGTATATCTTGGGTACATGTACGAATCCAAGGTGAGCAAGCTCCTTGGARCATCTCTCTCCATTCCGCCCTTCGAGCTCGAAGTCCAGCTCTTGTCTGAGAGTGTCTTTCATATCCTGCCAAACAAAGAATTTTAGTCCGCTTGGCGTAGTGAGAGCTCTCGCCTCTCATCGGCAATGCGACACGGGTTTGATTCCCTGGCTTTATTTGAATTCGTAGCCATATTCCGAGGCAATATTAGGAGGAAAAAGGGACGAAATGGCCGCCACTGCCGCCATCTTGGAAATATATCACCTAAAACAGCCCCAAAAGAGTGCACTGCAATGCCATCTCATGTAAATGAAATATCCATTTTATGGTCCAGAGAAGATGGTGTTTTCCTGAGGTGAAGCAGAAATATCACTTTCGATTTCGCGAACAAATGTATTGTTGCCTGCTTAGAGATGTTGCAGATCTACCATGTGGCGTCCTCTTAGCCAATGAGAAGAGAGAAAAAATGGACTTTGACACTTTCAACTGCCATCAACTGTAGCCGATGATATGATGCTTCATCCCCCCCCCCCCCCCCCCCCTTCCCAAAAAAAACACCACCGCTAGTTTCTAATCACTTCAGAAAGATATAAGATATATTCAGTACTTACATCCAAAATCCAAGCAAAAGTAAACATTGGATGCATCCACCCAATCACATCAAGAAGAACYTTTAGTGTCCATAAATCGCCATCGTAACGATCTCTTAGATCTATGTACTGCACCTGTRGAGATGAGAATCTAGGATCAACAGGAAGACGAATTGTGTCGACTGAAAACAAAAGCTCGACAATATATTGCTATGTCATAAAAATGTTGGAGAAGCTTGTGTGGCATATTGCTTGTTGCATACCAAGCCCGAAATGCAGTATGGGTGGCATGAATGCAATCAGCAAATGGTCTTGAAAACAAAATGGAATTTTCCCAAAAATTATCTGCGCATTTTCCCAGCATATTTTCTTTCTGTGCTAACATAATTTACGTATGATCCAAGCAGAGTTTAAAATAACAGCCAGCAAGTCAGCAGTCATGATGGCTGGCCAAATTAGTTTTAGCTCGGCCATACCTCATTTCTGGCTCAACGGTATGGTAAAGATACAGTAATGATGAAAAGGTAAAGATGGAGGGCAAGGCAAAGATTTGACCTGACAAGTTCTAATTATGGGCGTTATTTTAAGCCCTGCGAGGATACATTTCCAGGGTTTGAAATATAATTTTCTTTCAGCCTGCCATAGTAAAGGAGCATTGTAAAAGGCAGTCATTCCAGTAAATTTTTCATGCCATTTTATTATTCATTTGGCAGTGCATCGTTATTTTCACCTGCCAAACCTGAAATTTGGCCTGTCATTTGCCATTGGCAGGCTGCTATTTCAAGCCCTGATTTCAAGTTCCGGATGAAATATGCAACAAATAACTTCAATGATAAAGCCTTCACCACCTTTTTTTGAAATAGTTGGTACTATGTGTCATGAGAAAAAAAAAAATTCCTAAACACTAACTCCCTTTACAGTTCGCATTAACTAATGAATAACATGCTATTGCACCTTAGCAAGACTATACCTTGACATCTTAATCTTAGTCCATATTAGCTTACCTTCACAGCCAGTGGTTTCCCATCATGAGTCTTAGCCTTGTGCACTTGRGCAAGACTTGCTGCAGCCAATGGATTCTCATCAAACTCAGCAAACATTTCTTTTGCTGTTTTACCAAAATCTTCTAAAAACAGCTGATCCACCTGAAACGAAAAYTAAGTAATTTTCTAATTGATGTCATAGTCAATCATAATAAATATGATCTAAAACTTCCTATTTCATTTTAGTTGAAGTTTAGCATGCTTCCATCAAGTTTTGTGTACATTTATATGTATTAAAGTAAAATATATTAATTAACATATCGAATTGTATTATATTGTGGTTATGTCATAATATGATTTCCTGATTCTTTGCGATTATGAGAAAAATGGTACTGTATATACACACACTGCACTAGTTGTACCATGCMTTTTTATCATGGTACCAAAGAATATCACACTGCTCACTTGTATTGTTATTATGTATACACTAGCCATGTATGATGCACGTGAGTTTATCAAGAATATAGGATAAGTGACAAGTGGGGTATTTCATGGTATATGTCAGGAGTATTATCTAAATCGGTCAATTCCCTATTGTTATCACTAAGAAACAAATGATCATTAAGGGAATAACACATGACCAAGAAAATGATTAATATGTTCAAATTGAAAAGTTATATTAAATTGTGACTTGCTGCATATTAATAAAAATATACGTCAGTAAAAATCAAGAGCTTAGAGTTTTCTACTTAATATTGAGCTTACCTCTCCTATTTGACGTCTCAGTGCCTAAAAAAGATGGCAATTAGCTAGTATCRTTTTCTCTGAGATTAATTACTTATACACAGCAGAATTTAATAAATAAATAAACTAACTTTGTTTATAGTGGATAACAATAGACRGTTTACGGTCATGACGCCCCCTTGTCATGACGCCCCCAGCCATGACGCCCCACGTATACCATGACGCCYCCAGTCTGTACTACCATGAYRCCCCCAGCGTAAACCATGACGCCCCTAGTTTCTACTAACACTTATTTAATAAGAAGTTTAACAACATTTCATAGTATAAATCCAAGAACAACAAAAAAAATAACGAAAAGGAAAAAAGTTGACAACAAAATTTYGTAAGTCCGATAAATTATTCGTAATTCAAGTTAGTASSCCGTAGTTGCCGTAAGAACGCTAGTGATCTTTCGTATTATTGTTTCSCTTACGCATAAGTTCTGAAACCTTTCTCCTAAAAGTTTGACACCGAAAATATACCACAAAAGAAAGAGAGTGCTRGTGAATAAAGTAAGAAAAACATTGCGAAAGAATCAAAACCTTTGACACGACCATTAAACTATGTACGAACGAATAATGAGTTGTTTTCGAACGAACGAGTTGTTTTCAGCAGTTGTAGTTCGCAGACTTGTAACCTAATAGTTCTTTGRCGTAGGAAGTTTTTGACTTATTCGTAATTTTGAAACGTGTGTGTTTTTGCTAAATATTTTGGTAAATCAGCAAAGATTTCTTACGAAAATCAGGTAGTTTGCTGTTGGATTCCTAATGCATCTGAATGATGTTCTTTAACTCCTAATTCAGCTATATCATGTTCTGGAACTAATTATCAATGACAAAATTCAAGAAGTACATCGCTTAACTACAGAGATTTAGTGTTCGCCAACTTGTTGGTATCGTTTTTAACTCGTGGATACGCGAAGCGTAGAAACGAGTTATTTAAAACCGTAATGATCGTGGAACAACTCCAATAGTGTTYGATTTACGCGGGTTCGTAGCGYTATATTATCATCGTTAAACTTCTTATTAAATAAGTGTTAATAAAGACTAGGGGCGTTATGGTTTACGCTGGGGGCGTTATGGTAGTACAGACTGGGGGCGTCATGGTATACGTGGGGCGTCATGGCTGGGGGCGTCATGACAAGGGGGCATCATGACCGGTTACSCAATAGACAGTAATTCAACTGATAAACTTGTGATCCTCTGTTAACGTCTCTAGTTAATTATAGGGACGGGACCACCATTAACGTGTTCATCCGAGCCATGTGAAGGTCTAACCATTTGCAGATGTAATTACAAAGGCAGCACCTTCTCCTCAGTTAAGACCCTGAGTAAAGACCCTGAGTGTTGGTCCGGGTGAGGCTTGAACAACGACCTCCCGCACAACAGACAGACGCTCTTACCAACTGAGCTAACCGGGTGGCGGTTCAAAAGTAGTAGAGGGGAAATACCAATTTTGTACACAGGAAAAATAAGTGAAAGAAAGAAAGGGATGGAAGAATGRAAGGAATGAAATAAAGGAGGGAAGAAAGGATGGAAGGAAGAAAGGAAGGAAGGAAGAATTTCTTTTTTAGTTCATTATTACAATTACCTGATCTCTAAGGACCTGTAGAGTATCAGTATATTGGCTGGGCAGAATATGATTGAAGCAAGCCAATCCTTGTCCAAGTTTGACATAAAGTCCCCCATTTAGTATAGCACCAATGACAATATGATCAGCTGCTCTTTGATGGCACTCATTGATAGCCTTTTTATATGCTTCTCCCTCCTAGGAAAAAAATAATTTAGACAACTTATGTTCAATAACATGGAGGAGAAGAAGAAGAAACCTAAATCAAATTCGAAAAAAATAAAAGAATTGGAAAAAAAAGAGCATTAGCAATTTAACAGCTTACGGGYGATTCCCAAACCCTCTCCCCCCTTTCCTGCTCCATTCAGTAATAAAGCAAGGAATGTTTGTCACTTCCTGTGTGCTGTATCATTGAAATATAAGCACAGAAAAAGCTTCCTATTTCTTGCTTTCAATATTGTAAAGCTTACAGGGTCTAATCCATGCAGTGACCACCAGTAGTCTATTGATATTGACAGTCCAATGTAAAATGATCTGTTAAAAAAAAACAACAATAGTTTTATTTTCAATATCTATTAATCGCTGACACATACATACATATGCTATTTCTATTTATGCAGATCTAGGATTTTGAAGCTAGTAGGGTTCACTAAATAAATCAAGAACGATGCACCTTTTTATTAGCAATTAAAAACATTCAATGCTTAAGCTGACCAACTAATTCCAAGCTAGAAGGAGATGCATAGGCAMCCTATGACCTCCCCCTGGAAATTTGCCACTGGGCTATAGGGCTGGAGGACAGTTTTATGATGTTATAGATACATAGAAGATCATAAAATTCCACAGCACTCTACAGCGCTTCTCAATTACATGTGCAAAATCATGAAAATGATTTTGAGACATAATAGAGTTTTGGTGGACCCAAATCAAAGTGTTTCCCAGCGTTGTCGTAAAACACAAAGCTTTTTAGGGCACGTTCTTATGGAATGTCATGGAAATGCATCAATTGATTGACGTCCACCAAAACCTACTTCGTCACGATATGGCAAATTGAAAGATTTCAAGTGTGTGATTGAGAAGCGCTGTTAAGGTCAACGATAACAGGATTTTTTCGTCTTATGGCACAGCATAAAAAAACAGTAAATACTATAGAACAGAAAATGCGATAAACGTAAAAAATAAAAAATAAAAATAAAAATAAAAAAACSTAGTAGAGTACAAACACTAAAAGTGTGCAACATAAATATCACTAAATAGTGTTATTTTATGCTAATTATATTGTTTTCTTTTGTTTAATTAGTGCTATTTACTGCTAAATAGTACTTACGAACAAAATTACAGCCTATCAAATACAAAGCTTGAAGGTTGTCAAAAATAACAAATTACCTAAAAAATCGACCAATTCCTTCAACTCCGACTCTTAGTTTTCGTCTTCTCACAACATCCCAAGGCTTTGCAATATATACTGAATACCCAACACCAACAGCAAAAGGTAGAGACCAGTACCATACTCTTGAAACTCCTTTGCTAACTTGAGTTTGTGAAGTTTTCCATCTCACAGMCCTTACACTGGATTTTGCTCTGCATAAATGGCTCAATCGATAAAATCCAGCACATCTACCTGGGTTAAACCTCGTAAAAATTAAAGCYTTGTTCATATTTGAGTCATTTCTAACGTCCAATAAACCGTGACAATATTAGCATGTYTATATCACACCATCTCATGCCATATATGTGATAAACAAGCAGGCGTTCCTGGACTGGTTCACAGGCACACTCTAACATACTAACMCAGGGTAACCAAAAGTGTTATATTTTTATGAGTCTCGTGATTGAAGACAAGGGCAAAGGGTATTTTTAATTATTAGTTTTTGAATTGGACAGTTTATTTTATTTTCTGAGCAGACATTCTCCAAGTTATAAGATGGCCAAAAMTCTAAGCCACTTGAAGGTTAGTATGACCCATTATCACATACAGAGATGTTCATGCAAACATACGTACACTTTCAAGTTTGCATCCTTGATTAGCAAGAGCTACATAGAGCGAGCAACAAAAAGTACTGTACTTAATATCCTCTGGAATAAATAGTAAYGTATTTTGTATTTTGTTGCTGCTCTAGGATAAATTAAACTCTAGGTATTTGGATGGAACTCTCCATTCCAGTTAACTTATGTAATTCCCTTGAGAAGTATGATTTGATTTATTTACATTATCTATTTGAGAATCGATAAGATATACATTTTGACTCATTTTCATAATTACATGGCCCAATGCCCAAACTATTTTGTATTTTTGCTTCTGCCATTAAAAACAATTTAGACAATTCTTTAAGAATGTTGAACAGTAGATTGATGAGATTGGAAGCTTAAAACCAAGAGGTCTCAATTGTTTTATAAGCTTACAAAAATGAATGATATGATTTCATCACTTTTTTTAATACTTGGAACTTGCACAAAAAATATTCAAATTATGGAAATTCAAGCATTATGCACCCAAAAGAAAAGAAACATTTTGAGACYTGGCAAATGTGTTCACTCCAGTGATTGAGAAAAAGATTAAAATTGGAATCAGCTGACCTGAGAGAATGTTAGCCAATCAGGATCAAGAAAATTTGCAAAACTGGGTGTCACTTTTCCTCTTRAAATAAGGCCATCAAATGAGAAAAACAAAAATGTTAATAAAAGGTTGACAACAGTGACAACTAATGAGTTAATTTATTGTGAAAATTGCAATGATGGGCATGTTTATATTCATTTTTGCTGGTCAATTTTCACTTGCTTCAGCTAGGACACATTAATTTTCCAGTGACATCATTTCTACTTCACTATTTCAGATCAGCTGGATAGTTCAATGTATTTTTCCTTATTCATGCACCCACAGGCTAATCTTAGGGATCCCTGTGTTTTTGAAGACTGACTGCTCAGGACAGAATTTAGAAGCAAAATTTAAACTATTTTGATTTAATGATCCCTGTGCCACAGGGATCCCAAATGCAGTAAATCCTCAACCTCTAATTCTTAGTGTGGTTAGTTTGTACTCCACCACATTGSTATTCCATTGGGATACCTGTGGTCATGARTTATAAAAGGTTTTAACTGCTTTATCCATTGATAATTGATTCAAGAATGATTAAGAATGATTCATGTKATTAAGCAGAATGCTGTTCTTCTGTTGGATATTTCTGTGTATAATGTTTCCCTCTTGGTCATATTCCCTCTTGTTATTCCATGCATTGGGATACCTGTGGTTGTGARTTATTTTGAAAAGATGAAAAGATTTTAACTTCTCTATGCATTGATTATTTATTAAGCATATAAATGATTGTGATGTAAACAGATGATGTTCTTTTAGTCCAACAGCAAGGTCYTGACTGGTGACCAGAATGACGAGAAAAGCTGGATTAAARCGGTAATCTGTGTTTCTTTGTAAAYCRATTGCAWTATATCYRTTAATCATTTATTTGATATTTTTYTCCTTCAGATTGGTGCAAGAGCACACTTGCGATCAATAGGATACAAGGTATATCAGTTGAGCTCAGGCTTATTATATGAGATAATTTCCACAGGAAACCCAGCTGCAGAGCATGAGCACTGACCACAAGAAATGGAGCAACCTTTCTTTACTGATACATAACACTTGTGCCTTTAGAGTGCAGTCATTAACTTAACACTGCCATAATATCAGCTAAATGCAAACTTAGTAAATAAACAACAAAAAAATAATAATAATAAGCTGATTTGGAATTCACATGAATATTTAAGACACACTATTGTTTATGTTTAATCACACCTGAATAAACCTTGATTACTGAGTTCCCTGTAAAAATATATTGATGAAAGTATCAGGTGCTGGTTCAATACCTTCACGCATGCAATACAATTGATAATGTTCTGGTTTAGTGATAATTACTATATTTTGCCAATATATATAAACAATGACATAATACTTTTTGTTGATTTTGTTGAACGGGTATAATGACTTTGCTCTATTAAAATCAGCCAAGTCTCCATCTATTAGGTAATTAATGAATATAACATATACATTTATAGGATGAAGATTTTTCCAAACCAATAATAACTGTGGCCTGTCCCTACAGCAACATCTTGCCCTGTAATTTTCACTTCAGGTAAACTGATTTTAAATCAAAAAGTAAATGAATAAATACATGAGTAAAATATATATACATGAATCTCTTTAAAAAGGTGTTGCCCTATGCAGCTTGCTTCTCTCWYGCTCTACACTACCTCCTAGTGTGTTAATTATCACAGTACAGAGATATGCACACACGTTTTGAATTCCATAAATGATCATTTAAGAATTTGCATGTTTTTCAAACAGGGAACTTGCAGATCATGTAGTTCAAGTAATCGAGGCTCTTGGAGGTAATTCTTTATTGATGTAGTGATTTTTTAGATATTTGTAGGATTTTTTTGTTCGATCTTACAATGCCATGTTTATATATTGAAGCATATTTTTCAATTATTTCTTTTCTTATTTCTTGCTCATAGGGAAAGCATGTTTGAGTTATACTCCAGTCATAAGTGATGCAGAAACAATGGTATGCCTGCCTCATACTGTTTCAAAGTATTTTAGGGGCGATCGATGGGTGCAAACAGACGAAYGTGTCTTATTTGATTCTGTGTCATTACTTTGTTGTATAATATTATGCATGTTTTTTTCCCATCCCATCCCATCCCATTTATCCATATTTCTATTTATTCGTTCGTTCGTTCATGCGTACGTTCATTTGTTCATGCGTGCGTGTTGCATGGGTTTTTTTTCTTTCCATGCGTGTGTTCGATCGCTATTCCGTTCAGTGGGTCGATCGTCGATCGTGGGTTCGTCCCTTCTTTTCTTCCTTTCATGCTTCCTTCCTTCCTTCACTCAATCTGTATTTGTACAGCCCTGATGTGTTAATCAGTATTGACAATGTGTTTATTCGTATCAATCAGGGCACGGCCGGGATGAAATATTCACTAATATCACGTGACTGGATTGCGGACTGCGTGGAAATCATGCATCAGGGCTACTCAGGGGTAAGCATTGATGTGTTGCAAGCACTCCCAAGAGAGTTAAAAGATAAAAACATGGCGGCCATTGTGGTACCGTTAACAATGGATGCTAATGAGAAATCTTTTGTTAAATGGTAACAACATGGCCGCGATGACGTAACGTGCAAACGAAGAATTATTCAAGGTTATAAAGAGACATAGGTCAGCACTCGCGAAAGAACACATCGCAATATGTACACTTGTAGCATATATAAATGCAACAAATCACCCAGGGGTGGTTTGAAACACGAGAAAAAACTTGTTCCTGGTAGCAGGGACACTTTTGTACTCGAGTCAACTACACCGAGAGCTTATATGGAAAGAGGTAGTCCCTATAAACCCGGGACAACTATCCATTTCAATGAGGACACGGATGCTGAAACGAAAAAAAGTTGTCTCTGTTAGGCGAGTTAAAGTGTTTACACGTAGGAAAGTTGTCCCGGGTACCAAGGTCACCCTCTTTTGTAAAGAGGGTAACAATACCAGTAGGGTGACCCTTCTAGCTAAAGGAATGTAAAATATCTCATGTGAACGGTCCAGATGAATTTACAAAGAAATTATAAAGAATTGGGCCGCTCAGGTTAGCTCGGGAAAGAGGGTAACTCTCTAACCTGGGGAGAACTTTTTCCCGTTTAAAGGGCACCTCAGTGTTCGCTAACAATTCATTCACGCAAAAGTATAAGACCTGACAAGGTAAAACTGGTGACTCAAAATCGAAAGACCTTATTTAATGGATTTATGTTGGTGGATACAGGTAAATACCTCCTCACCTATCAGAGACCCATTGAAATGCTCGGTATCATACTACGTCAAAAAGGATATTATCTTTTGTTCGTAAAAAAAAAAAAAAAAGAAAAAGAAAAAAGATTCTGGACACTGTCCCCGTTATTATGAAAGACTGAGTTCTCAGAAAAGCTTGAATCACTAACTATTATTTGTTTTATTTTTTCCTTCCAGGATGGTATTATTAGTCTTGCTGGTTGTGACAAGACAATACCTGGGGTACTGATGCCTCTTGCGAGACTAGATGCGGTAAGTTTATAGTCATGTTTCAATAAAACAACAACAGTAACAACAACAATTACAATATCAAAAGAAAAAAAAATAATTAAAAAAACATGGTTTGCACTCACTCGAGTTATGACTGTTCCTCAAATCTATAATTTTTAAAAGCGTCTGAGGATATTCTCACAAACGTTTCCTTCATTAGCTACATAGTTCTGTTGTATTAATGAAACGGGTTGAAGGTCAGACGGGATTGTCCCTGTCCCATGCTATGTCTTTCGATATACGGCTGTATTGCTGTACCGTGATCATGCAGCTGATTGGATACCGTGATCATGAATCTGATTGGATACCGTGATCATGAAGCTGATTGGATACCGTGATCATGAAGCTGATTGGATACCGTGATCATGAAGCTGATTGGATACCGTGATCATGCAGCTGATTGGATACCGTGATCATGAAGCTGATTGGATACCGTGATCATGAAGCTGATTGGATACCGTGATCATGAATCTGATTGGATACCGTGATCATGACGCTGATTGGATACCGTGATCATGAAGCTGATTGGATACCGTGATCATGATGCTGATTGGATACTGTGATCATGAAGCTGATTGGATACCGTGATCATGAATCTGATTGGATAAGCGTGTGAAATAATCGGGAAAAATTACGAAGCCTCTTACTTCTGAATATCCTAAAAACATATATAAAATAAAACTAAMATCTTTATTCTCTTCCAACACTTCTTCTTCAACGTTCCCCGTTGCATCGCTTATTTTATACTCCCTCTGAGTACTTCTTCCTCCGTCTATTATCACTTATGGGCATTGTGAAATAATGAAAATTTGTTGAATTTAAGGTTTTTTCTTCTTGTTTTTCAACAGACAGGAGTGGTTATTTATGGTGGCACGATGCCTCCAGGCTGTGGCAAGAAACGTCAAAACTTGAGTGCTGGAAGTCCATTCGAGGTGACTTTTGTTMAACTCTTTATTATTTCTTGGTGTTTCGAGGCACTTCAGACATGAAGACAATACAACGAGGATGACAGATTTGGAGCTCAACTATATACCCAGCAAAAAATAAAACAAAAACCTAGCCCAGAATAAAATAAAGCTTGCTGCAACAAGAAAGACCCCTTTTAAATAGTAATATACCTCTTTACCTTGGGCGTGATCATCGGTTTTCCCATTTCAGATCACGTGTCATCCTCTTGAGAATAAGTATCTTTGTTTAAGTTGTACCCAGCCTACCCTGGATGTCAGAGAGGCCTGTATCGCTTCGCTCCTCGAAAACAAGGAATCTCTGCCACGAAAGGGTATAGCCATCCATTGTGTCTTCTCGTGCGCCGGACCGTCAAACGATGATGCTCAATGAAGGACACGTGGTCTGCTATGAGAATACATTAAGGTCATTTGAGGCCYATTAGTCGTTTGGCTGGACAAATAGTAGTAGTGTAAAAGCAAACTATAACGTAGACAGTTAAGCAGTCACCTAATCATTCTTGTACACCTTGTAGCCATTTACAGCTATTTAATAAAAAGGCTGTTGAAGGTTTTGCTACAGGTTAAATTACATTTTGCATCATGAAAATAACGGTTGAACAGAAGAAAAACAAATCCTAAAACACGCGCAGACGAAATTATAGGGAAAATCTCGAAAATTCCAAAATATTGTAAGAATCCTTTCCTGATTGCATACATATCGCCCATTTTTTCGCGCTTGGTATGCAACATGCAATATGCATCATGCAAAAAATCCTTCACCAACCTTTTTTGACTGAAGTAGCTACATACAGCTGTTAACTTTAATTCAGCACGGGCATGTGATAATCTTACAAAGAGATCTATTTTGAGGAAGTTTGCTCTTTCTCCAGGCTCAAGGTGCTTACAGTAAAGGATTGATGGACATCGAAGACCTGAATGACATCGAGTGTCACTCCATCCCCAGTGCTGGTGCTTGTGGTACGTCTTTTGTTAGTTTACTGCAGGGTTTTAATCAGCTGATAAAAGTCTTTGATGCCATTAAAAAATGAGGTTAAAACGCTGACCACCGTATGATGTCAGCCAAAAGAAATTCTACATTCACTGGGTTTCAAACAGAAAAAAAAAACAAAAAAAAAAACAAAACAGAACATCAACAAAGATAAAGCTGTGTCGCACCATTCTCGCATTGCATTGTCTTTTATCAGCTAAGAAAAGCCTTTGACTCTCATTATCTGCTCCAAAGTTTCAAATGGTSGTCAAACACCGACAACCATGTGCTGTAAGCCAAAATGAATTCTGACTGCAACCTTTATCATCAACCTTTATCAACCTGYATCAGTTTTGATAACAGTGTGATTGTGTTTAACTTTTAGGTGGTATGTTCACAGCCAATACCATGTCTTCTGTGACTGAAGCATTAGGGATGACCCTCCCAGGTGAGTATATATGGATAAATGGACTTTTACATATCTTTACATATCATGGCCCTGTGGCTTTTGAGGATGAGTAACTATGTTCAATACGTGCATGTTCAAAGTGAAATACATTATAATCTCTTTTTTTTTTCCCTTTTCTTCAAAAAAAAAAAAAAAAAAAAATTGGCGAATTCCGGAACAAACTCAAGGCTGTTCAAAGTATCAAAGTCAGAGAACGGCTAACTCGCAGATCGAATTGGAACTCACTGAAGGTTTTACGAATAAGGGAAAACCCAAAGACCAAAGGAAAGGAATCTTGAATCAACGGAAATACCTAACAAACTCCGTTTTCTGTGTTGCAGGTAGTGCATCTGGAGTTGCCGTAGTAGAGGGAAACAAGGCTAGTATTGATTGCCGATACGCTATCYGTTTTCTATTTTACTGTGATTAATCAGAATGATTTTGGCTTGCCTAGAGTAACCTAAGTTGTGGTTAATTCATTCCTAAATGTACCTCTCATGAAGCTTTTCTTTGCAGTCTTCTCTGCTCTGCTCTGCTCTGCTCTATTATTTGTTTTCTTGTTTTCTTCTTCTGTTTAGGTAACAGACAAAAAGAAAGTAGAGTGCGAGGAAGCAGTTAAAGCATTGTTCGCCCTGATGGAAAAAGGACAAAAAACAAGAGATATAATCAGCAGAAAGGTAATGATCACTGAAAACATTATGAAACATATGCATTAGTAAATAGSAATAATATTATAAATTGGTCGTACTCAAGCTTTTGTCAAGAGTAACGCTATATAATAATGGCTAATTTATAAGAAACTTGTGTGACCTTGATGTTAAGTAAGTCATTTTAATTTGCGCCCATCTTCCTTTGGATATGTTTTGAGACAAAACACATTCTTCACGCGTAAACGTCCGAGTCGTCAGTATATTGTAGTCACAAACGTTTTTGCACAGGGTTTAAGTTTCCTTCTTTCACTTATTGCATTCGGGACACCAAACGCAGTCCCGACTAGTAATCCAGCTGCTGTCATGTATCACTTTATGATTAATGTAAGCCATTCCAATCTAAATAYTTCAGGCTTTCGAAAATGCTATCACGGTAATGTACGCGTTGGGTGGTTCGACTAATGGCGTTCTTCATCTCCTTGGTCTTGCACACGAGTGAGTTTTAAAAAAGTAAATTAATAATTAATTAAGCAGCAAGTCAAACAAAGCAGAAGAAAAATTGTGCGTTTTCATTAGGGAAAAAAAAAAAAAAAAAGGAAAGAAAAAAACTCCACGTCAGTTAAACCAAACCAATGCTTAAGCCCACAATTATCATGCTGGTCTAGGCTTTTGGCCTTTATCGTTTACATGATGATGATGATGATGTATGGCTAATGCGCATGCGAAGTTAACTTTTGTTTAGTTTTTAAGGGTCCCACACTGAGTGGAGAGAACTTACATACCTACCCATTTGTGCCAGAAATGTTTTATTATTTTTATTATGTTTTAGCAGCTGGTCATAGCAAGGGGTTAATCATCTATGGTCTAGGGGCCGACTAACCTCTCCCTTAGGCTTCGGCCGAGCTTCCTGATCWGTYYGTAAGTMCTCGGATAGCGGTGTCGGGGCCGAAATCTCCGGCGTAGCCGTAAATGCTTCGCGCTGCCATACGACGGTTCAGCATTCGATGTCTGGAAGTATGGTCCTTATTATAATCAATAAAAAATAAGAATATCCCAAAAGCAAGGAAAGCTCCCTAGCAGAAAACTTACGAATACACCATTAAAAAATGAATGTATAGTGTTATGTCTGCTTCATTACAGAGCTGAGGTCAAACTTGAAATCGAAGATTTTAATCGAATTGGAGGCAAAGTTCCTATCTTGGCTAACGTCAAACCTCATGGAAAGGTAAGAGAATAAAGACATTTCGATTACTAACTAAACACCTTGAAAATCGAGGGTGTGGGTAGTAGAATTGATAGAGATATTGAACCGACCCCAATATTTTCATCAGATAAATTTACCTCTCCCCGCCAATGTTCTATCACTTTCCTTATAAAACAATATAGCCTTAACTGGCGGCACTTGCTTATTAATTGTTTTACCGTACTGCGCATCATATTGTGAAGTAAACCGTCACAAATATAGCAAAAACTTCATTACATGTACACGTTTCGCGAAAGCCTGGAAAAATACTGATTCCGCGCCATGTTGTGCATTTTCTTATCATTCCTTGCTGTGTTTGTTTTTAGTACCAAATGGCTGACATTGACAAAGTTGGCGGTCTACCAGTAAGTATGACAGACACCTAGTATTTCCAAAAGAAAAAAAACAGTGCGGGAGCTAAACGAATTTGGTGCTGAGGATTACAGGTCTTGCGCTAGTGGCGCAGAGGACGGTGATGGCACAGGGGAAAAAAGGCGAAATAGAAAAAGATAGGACTGAATTAAGTCAGGGCACAGCTAACCCACAGATCAAATAGTCCCTTTCACAGTTCCCTACGCCATCTTGAAAGGTAGCTGTACCTTTGCATTGAAGTGAGACGAGCGGTGAGCTTGCAATGATAGAGACCGTATTTTAACACCTTCAGCAAGTATTCACATGTCTCTTTCATTGCAAGCTCACTATTTGTGCCGCTTTGATGCCAAGGCACCTCAACCTTTTAAGACGGCACAGGGAACTGTGAAGGGGTCTAATAGAGTCTAGCCGTTTAGCGTGTTATCCTCGCATCAAGAGAGAGGCCCTACACACTCTACGATGAGATGTGATGGCAAGTCCAGAAATCGAAAGTGAGAGGCGAGTGTACTAATGCTACACCGACCTTGATTCTTGGTAATTCTTAACTTTTGGCTTGCACTGTATCTAGTTTGTCTTGCATATTTTTACACGTTTTTGTTTCTTTAGATTCTTCTCAAAGAGCTTCTCGATGGAGGGTTTATCCACGGGGATCAACCGACAGTCAATGGCAAGACTCTAGMTGAAAACATGAAGAATACGCCGTCTCTAAGAAGCATCAAGACACAGGTACGAAGCGATATCATAGGTACAGGGATAATGTTGTACCTGGCGAGTATTGTGTGTGATTGTGTATGACGTAGAAGATGAAATGTGTCATATTTCCTTAACTGTAGCTGTTTCATTCTAATCGACTAAGGAAAAGAATGAAAAAGAAATGTCACTTCAGTTGTTCTTTTACCGTGCTTTCCGTCTATAATCCTATGYTCTGTAGACATGCGCTTTAATGAAGAAATATACATACCCTTTAATGAATAAGATGCGCGGGCTTGCTGCGGGGATTGGCCACACAAAAGAGGAGTGTTAGGAGACGTACAACGCTTTAAATGTTTTAAAAAACCTTAGCGTTCTGCCAATAGTCCAAATACTACATCTGCACCCAATACTCGATTACGCTGGGCGTTCTTGTGCTTTACAGCTCCCAGCGTGYTTATATCCCATTACATAGACATGCGCGCGCGTTTTATATCGCATGAATTTAATACAAATTAGAATAAGTGTTATTTTGGGTACCATCGAGGAGATGAAAAATAGGCGCTCGCGTTCTGTGTGCCCTCGTAGCGCATCAGTCCCAACTAATCCAAAAGCAAGGGTTATAAAATGTTATTGTATAACTGTTCTTACTGGCAATTTTCTTTTCTCTATCTTTTTTTTCTTTTTCTCTATTAATAGTCCTTAGCTTAGGTGTAATGTTTTCCCATTCCAGACCACATGTCATTCTCTTGAGATAAAGGTTCTTTGTCTGAGTTGTATCCATATATTTATGTGTCTTCTCATGTGCAACCGTTAAACAATGAAATACTACTAGTACTCCAGTAACTGACACGTGGTCTGAAATGGGAAAACATTACGCCCAAGGTAAAGAGGTCTATTGTTATGTTATTTTTTTAGTTTATATGTTTTTTGATTTTTCTTGTTCTCAGGATGTAATATTCCCGCTCTCTTCACCAGTAGCACCAGCAGGCCGTCATATCCTTATCCTCAAGGTACTTCATATCAATTTAACAACCCTTWGGAGTTTCTTTCCTAAAGGACTTTGAGGCGCCCTATAGACCCCTTGCACTAAGTCCCTAGAGGATTTGTCCTGGGGGACAAAACGAAACAATGGATTTTTTTTGCATAAGAAAAGACGCCCTATTGTTTTTGTCCCCAGAACATTTCCTCTAGGAATTCAATGCAAGGGGTCTATATAATTCTATGCAGTCTAAATAACCAAGTGAAGACTRTTGAAAATCGTGCATCGATCCTGATTGGCTAAGCTTCTAGTGATTTGTTTATCACAGAGCATGGTAGAGAAAATCGCCAACATATTTGTACGTTGGGTTGAATAATCAATGTATGTCTTTTCTTATATAAAACTGTTACTACGGGCYTTGCTCAAGCGGCAGCAACGTTAACTGGAGCAATAGATTTTCCCACGSGTKGTCTTGYATTCAAKTGCTTGAGAATAATGATATGTAGATAACGTTCAATCCCCATGAGCTACAAGGTAATTGGTCCACTTGGCTTTGTCTCGATCAATTACTATTGAACCAAACTTACCGCTAAAGGTAATTTATTTATCCCTAGAATTTATAGTTATCAGCATTTTAGCTTCCATGTTTGTTTTGTTTGTTACCTAATCTTCCAGGGTAGTCTCGCACCAGAGAGCGCTGTACTCAAGCTAAGCGGAAAGGACGTCACCAAGGCATTTCGCGGCCCGGTATGAATTATTCAAACTCTTTCATTTAACAAACAGCAAATGCGCGTGTGTGCTGTGTACAAGACATAAAGTACGGGAGAAGCATTAGGACAGGCACAGCATCCCGCCAAGTGGTTTTCAGCACTTCTTGAGTGTTTTGTCATCCGTAGGTGCTTAATAACTGCACACAGCACAGAGCGCACGGTTTGTAAACAATACTTATGATTTTCATTAAATAAAAGATGAGATAACTAGCTAAAAACTAGTGTGAGCTGCGTCGGTGTTTCTAATGAAACAGTAATGACAAAAGGGTAAATTTTACACCATGAAAAAATGAAAAAATTTACTGACGTTTCGGACGCTAGTCCTTCGTCGGAGTAAAATAAAGCGTCCGAAACGTCAGTAAGTTTTTTCATTTTTTCATGGTGTAAAATTTACCCTTTTGTCATTACTGTTAAATAAAAGATAAATAAGAGACGGAGTTTTCACGTGACGTCACAGCTGCCATCTTGGTGTACCAAAACAATACATTTTCTATCCTCGAGGAATTGAACTCTGTTTTTATGCAAAAACTGTGCAGAAAGTTTCTATTGTTTGGTACACCAATATGGCTGCCTTGTGACGTGAGTGAAAACGCCCGCTCTTTTGGAGACGAATAAAGAAACAGAAATGCTCGCGATTTTAAAATAACGTTACCTTTTGTTTTATAAAAAAAAAACAGGCTGTAGTTTTTAATGGTGAACAAGAAGCCTACAAAGCTGTCATGGGTGGACAGGTAAAAATTACATATTCATTGCTCGTCGGCGATGCTATTGGGCTATCTTAAAGCTGTGGTGGTGGACTCCATTGTCCGAGACTTAAATATGTGGTTAGAATTTTATTGGTTCGCTGCCGTGTTTGAATTTTTTTTTCTTTTTTCTTTTCTCTGGAGGCTCTCCGGTTTTCCTTCATTTGTGGAAATCAACTTATAAATTCCAATTTAATATGGCGTCAAGCGCGTTACTCATTAGTTTCTGGCTTGGAAAACTGTGCCATCAATATCCCTGTATTTTGTTTGAAAAAAAAAGGGGGGAAAAAAAATTAATAAAGGGCAAACTACTGGGAAAATGATTGTTCATTTAAGCCTGGCTAGAGAATTTATTTTTGTTTCCAATCTTTGCTGCAGATCAAGGCTGGTGATGTTCTTGTTATACGATATGAAGGACCCAGTGGAAGGTATGTCACAGCAACATTTTAGAGCCATGCTTGGACTTGAAGTTTTAGCATCATTTGTTATATTTTTAACACCCCGTTTTTGCAATCATTTATACAGTCCAGGAATGCCAGAGATGCTGTCGCCGGGAGCAGCGCTCGTAGGCGCAGGTCTAGGAACAAGCGTTGCCTTGGTTACTGATGGYAGATTCAGCGGTGCTTCCCATGGAATCATGATTGGTCACGTGTCGCCGGAGGCGCAGAGGGGMGGTCCTATTGCGTTGGTTGAGGATGRTGACGTGATAACCATTGACCCACAAGAGAAAACTCTAAACTTGGTGATGTTTTTTGTCTTTTTTCTTTGTTACCTACGGGGCAAGACCAAAAGAAAAATTGCGATAATAATACTTTCAGTTACTTCGCGCACAATGTTTTTGCATTTTATACCACGTGTCATTTGTATAGGAAATAAGACCTTTGTTTGAATTGCATCCATATTTATGGGTCTTCTCTTGTGCAACCGTCAAACAAAGAAWTGATACTCTAGGRAATGACAMGTGGTCTGAAATGCGACAACATARCRCCCGAGGTAGAAAGGTGCWTTGAAAGCTTCTCAGATATGTCGAGTTTTCTTACACACCCTCCCCTCCCCACCCTCACCAAAAATTAATGACTTGTAATTATTGTTTTCTTCTTCTTTGGTCATCAGGAAGTATCTGAGGATGTCATGGAAGCACGAAAAGCACGATGGACAGCACCAAACAGAAAACTGCCKGGTTTGCTTCAGAAGTATTCTCGTATCGTGTCCAGCGCACACAGAGGGGCCGTAACCCACTAATCTATTACTATAGCCAAGAGAAAATAAACTAAGAGAAGGAATCTCTGTTATTTATGGTTGTCACCATCATATGCATGTATTGATTGCTATTTTTAGGATAACATTTGCCGTCATTTTTTTCTGCACGCGCTCGCTACTTTATGCATTTTGCTCACGTAAGAGAAAACATGAGAAAAAGCGTATAGTGCGCGCAGTATACGCTTGCAGAAAAACAAACGTTTAAATAAATGATTCTAAAAATAGCACCAGTGAGTCTAAAAATAGCATCAAAAAGTGTTCATGATGAGGCGTGGGGATTCATTCCCTTAGTTCATTTTTTGACTTGCCACAGCTGATTATTTTGTATCACGAGTAATRACACGAAAAGATTGATGTGATTTTTTTAAATTTGAGGCATCAAACTACCGTTAGGTTATAATAAAGATCACTAGCGGTGATATAAATATAGGAAAGAAATAATGAATAAATGGATGGCTTGATAAACTAATCAATGAACAAATGGACGGGAGGGGAGGAGGGAGCAAGGAATATTCAGTACAAATAAAAGATTGTTAACAAAGAATTACTATATTTGAATTACCTGTTGATCAACCATGTGTCTGCATCTAAACAAAAATTTAGATTTCCATCAGTTAAAAAGATTGCTGTMATTGTCTTCGTCGGTTGCTAACATTCCTGGTCTTGGTGCCCGCATTCTACCATAGTTAATGGAGCTTTGTTCCAAACCATTCCGCTCCATTAACTATGATTCGATTCTATTGATATTCTGCCCTACCCTCGGGCTCTCTCTTCTTTATATATTACATAAATGATTGAACTTTTTTAAAARCTCGTTTTGTTTTATTTTTCACACGCACTGACAAACACCGGTACATTGTAGAAAGTAGCAGCGGGCTTACAAAACACACTCAAGTACACTTGTTTTCGATAGCACGCGCCATGACACTCCATAGGTGCTTGCCCTTGAAAGCTTTATGCTTCCCAACTTTACTTCCACATCCACCAAAATCTACCACTTAGCGACGAATGAGGGGTTTCCATGGCATTCCATAGGGAAGTGCCCATATAAATCGAGTTTTCCCGACGATGTCATGGAAACAGTTCGATTGGCGTCTACCAAAACCTACCTTGTAAAGACGGTGTTCCGCGTGTGCTATAGAGCACTTTCAAGTGACGTCACAGCGGCCATGTTAGTGTACCAAAACAATACTCTTTTTTATCCCCGGGAAATGAACTCCAATTTTTTCATGCAAAAACTACTGTGCATGGTAATGGAGAAATAGCAATTGACTACTATATTCTAGTGCGTGGAATAAGTGTGTTTAGCGAATATAGATATTTCCATGGGGATCAGCCACGCGTTTTGAGTTGGTTGCATCGGTTTGTCCCAGAAGGGTCGTGAGTTGGCCAATTGGTTCGTGTAATTCCATCAAGGTAGTAATACTCCTTCAGTCTTGATTTGGAAGACGTGCGGATCAGGTCAGGTCCCAAGTCTTTTCCACGACTGCCAGCGGCGACGAATTTGATTTGGTCTGGTGCATAGTCGTAAMACTTGTCGGCAACGCTCTTCACAACCTATAGGTAGTAAGAACAAATCGAGTCAATTTGGGAGACAAGGGTGCCCAGCGGGCGCTTCTGTTGCGCATGCGCCACAGCYCATCTCTTGGGATCATTTGGGATCATTAGTAAAGTTGATTTTWAATTTCTCCTGCTTTTTGAGATTTTTTCTCCGGCTCTTCCCTCCTAAAATATAGTCAAATTCTAAATTCCAGTTTGATCTTTAAACAAGGGCAATAGGTTTTGTTAGCCACTGACTATATAAAGTGCTAGCCTCAAAATAGAGT